GGCTTCGCACCTCGGTGCTGTCCCCAGTCACATCCCGAAGGGAGCCTTCCCCGTGTGGGTGCGTCGCAGTCGCCGCAGGGATGTCCTGCAACGGTGGAAGAGCAAGAAGCTGCCCAGGAAACATCCCTCCTGGAGGATGCGATGCTCGCAGGCACGACCATCTGCGCGAGGCCTGTGCCCCGAGGGCGCTGCGCGGGCCGAGTTCGTGAGAGGTCCCCGTCCTGCTGCCTCGTATGCACGCGCATCATAACGCAGATAGAGCTGCACACGCATATGCCCATTAAACGTGTGTTTCGGTACAAAATAAATCTAGACAAAAAGAGTTCCCCAGTCAGGCGCTTCTCCCGCATCATCTCTGCACCCTCTTGCACGATGCCTGTCTTCATGAAATGCCCAATAATTACTGCCCTCTCACCATCCAAAATCTCCCCTGGAGGCCTGCATCTTGCCCGGTGTTTTCCATGGGGGAATGGCTGTTGGAAGTGGTGAAAACATTGTTCCTTGCTGTCTCCTTGACCGGCCTGCTCAGTGCATCTCCTGGTCGTTGTCTCTATCACTTACTGCATTGTGCGCACTGTGAGGCGTAGGCTGGCTGGGGCCTGGGTCTTCCTCAGCACTGAGAAGGCAGTCAATTGTAAATAAATACAGGGAAGACTATGACTATAATAAAGGTGTGTGTGAGTGTTTCACACTGAGTGGGTTAAGTGCTGAGCCATCAGGGTGATGATGGGTGCCGTATAATAAGCTCGCTAGCAGTGCAGCCTACTGCACTTGCATGCATGTTGCATACGTGCATCATTTGCTTCCCTGGTTAACAGAGTGCGAATCCCATTTTTTTCCTATTACTAACATTGTGCCAAACATTTTTTCCTATTATTAATATTGCACCAAACGTCAGTTATCTGCATAGCAGTTAAATACACAGACCACTTGAGTGCATGGCACCTTTCAGTACCCCCTCTGCTCTGTAACAGACCTGTACTCTGTTTAACTGTGTGCTAATTGGGGCCAGAAACCATGCAGAGGAAGCAGCTGTGAGAGGGCTGCTGTCAGGACCCTTGAACATGACAACCCAGGCCCCAGGCAGTTTTTGGGCTGCTCTCAGCCCTCATTGCCCAAGCTCCTTACAGCAAGGTGAAGCTAACTCGAGGCTGTCATTCTCAAGTATCTAAGAGCAGCCCTGAGACTGCGAATGTCAGACACCACCGGTTCCTGCTGGTAATGCCACAGCACTGGCGGCTCTCTGCACTTAGTGCGTATGGCTGGGATGAGTGCATGCGCTGGGTGAGTACACGGGTAACGTCCGCTCTGCGTCCAAGTGCAGTACACTGTACTTGTATCCTTCACTGCTGTGTATACACAGTATACACCTTAAAGACTGCACAGTACTTCCGTTTTTTGACTCTACTTATCTGTAAAAAGGTTTATCTGCACACAGCCTACACACTTACTAACACTTCTTCTCCATTACTAGTGCCCTGAGGAGCACATGCTGATTTTTTTGTAATGAACTTGAAAACAGATATTTTGCAGTATAAGGGCATCCCCATCCACCTCTGCAATACCAGGCTCGCCTGCCTTCCTTTCTCCCACCCCATTGCCCTACAGTCTGCTTTCTGCAACGGGCCTTGAGGCACTGCTCGCTGCTGAAGCAGCACAGGACAAATGCACAGATGTTCCCTGGTACACAATGAGAGTGACAGCCAAGTAGGCTGGTGGCAGATGTGCAAGTTTGGGCTCTCAACACCTGGCTGTGCGTGGTAAAAAGCTACTCTGCGAACATAACTCAGATGTGCAGATAAAAAGGGGTCACAGGTTACAAAAATGCAGGTGCATTGTAGCACGCCCAGGGCACACTATTGCTAGGTAGCAAAGCCCAGGGTAGGTGTGGCCCTGGCTGTATTTGGGATTTGCAGGTGTTAAGGACTGAGGGGACCATTATGGCAAAGTAGTCCAGTGATTCTCAGCCTTTCTAAACTCAAGGCCTCCCTCAGAAAACGCCAGCTCTGAGCGTTCCTTCATTTCTGGATTACAGAAAAAATACTAGAGCAATTCTTCTATTGCAAAGATCTAAGAAAGCCATGGAAGATCAGAATGGTGTTAACCCTCTGGATTCCTGTTTGAAATCTGTGGGTTTATCTTATGAATGATGTGTAAGTGTTTGCACACCTAGTACTGAGTAGCACGGGGCAACACTGTCAGAAGGTTCTCATGGCACCCCAGGGTGTCGTGGCACCCACCTGAGAATCACGGGTGGTGTGAGCCAGAAAAAAGGCTAAGAAGGTTTGGGGGCTAAGTGGTGAAAGGGGCATGAAGCTGTGAGCAGGGAAACTCTCTCTTGTCTATCAGATGCTAAGAGCGGGTGGTCTGCACCTGGCATCTGACAAATTTGATTGTTGCCGATGAAAGTGCGTGCTTCTCTGAACTAATCGGTCTCCAAAGTGCCACCTTGCCTTGCCTTACGCCTTTCACCAGGCTGACACAGATAACCACCTCTGCCTCTTGTTCGATTCCCACTGCATTCAGGGAAACAGGGTTTTGCACCTTCTTTGGCATCTGGCTCCCACACCAACCTCTCTCCACCTTAACAGAAATAACCTGCAAGGCCCTGAACTTTGCTAGACTACTCAAGTCAAAAGGTGCTACTTTACGCAGCTAGTTCTACTGAAAGGGGATCCATATTACCTTTTCCTACTGATTAGAGCAGCGGAGGCATATCAAGTTCTTCGTTAAATTACTGTAGTTAGTTAATAAAAACAAGCTCATTAAGGAAGACTTCTTGTGAGCACTATCTTTTATTGCACCCACTGGATAGATAGATATGCAGTGGGCCCAATAAAAGATATCACCCACAAGAATTCTTGCATCTTCCCTGGACCATCACAGCAACATCATCTCACCACCACCACCAGGTGGATCATCCTTCAGTCATCAAGCTCACGATCTGTTCCAGCCCATAGCATGTCCTGATGCACGTTCCCCGCGTCAGAAGATCTGCTTTATTACTATTTGGTATCAAACGTTAACCAATCATTGCTTCACAAAACCCAGACGTTATTCAAAGTCTTCCACTTATCTGCTGGATTTGCTCCTTGGCAGCAGTCCTGCTCTTTATGGTGTTATCCTATTGTATAACATTGGGAGTGGCTCTCTTGCCATGCATGAGGATTACTCTTTCTAGGAGAGGGAGATGCAGTACTACATGCCATTATGAGCTGCAATATGCCAGCAAGTTTCCTGGAAGGATTCTCCAGAAGCAAAAGGTGTTTGTGCAGTTCCACGTGACAGAGACAAGGCCAAGAAAAATAACCAGAGAGAAGGGCTGTGTGACTTGTTCCACATTTGTGGGACTTGTTAACTGAAGAAATGAACCATGTAACTCAACATTCATCACTGACACTGCTTCTAGAAAGGCTGGGGCTGTTCACACCTAGCGTGACTCCCCTGGAGACTATGCTCTACGTTCCAGCTCACCCGTACGTGGGAGACAGCAAACAGCTTGGAGACACAAGACAGAAGGAGCAATAGCAGTCTTGCTAAACCAAATCCCATAGCCTTTGTGCAGGTTGCACCTCCCTGGGGCTTCCCCTGAAGACTCTGATTCTGGCTGCATGTGCACTTTGGAGCTAGTCTCCGATTTGCAATAGGCGAAGGTCAGGGCTATTACGAAATGTGCTTTCTGTACAGGAAACGCCTTGGCTCCTTGCCGAACCCTGTCACTGCCTGGCTGCACATGCCGTCCAGGTATGCCTGTAAACACAGCATCCTTCTAGTGTGCACCATCTCGCTGCCACCTTACAGAGAGCAATTACACCTTCTTCCTCCCACACCTGTTCATCTGCCCCCTCAGGGAGCTCCTAAACTGCCCACCAAGTCCTGCTCTTCCACGTGCAACACTGCCCTGCACAGGGCAAAGGCACTCATGTCCTGCACTGCAGGCACTGCTGCTCAATGCGGCATTACAGGGCAGTATATTTTCTTGCACTGTCCTCTCCCACCTCTGCCCATCTGCTTGCCTACTGCTGCCTCGCACCCCCTGTCCAAGAGTGCAAGCTCCGTGTGCTGGTACACTGCAAAGCTCAGTGGAGCTGGTGATTCTCAGAGCTACCAAAACACAAATAATAGTGGAGGAGTCGTCTGGCCCTTATGGCTATTTACTAGTCCTCTTGGGTGATGCAGGACATTGTGACCTAGGACAGCCACGCCTGAAGCCAATAATGGGCTGTCCTGTTCCAGGTCCACGCACCAGGTTTGCGCCAGCACGCAGGAGTACATTTGAAAAACTGCTTACCGCACCTCGGCCGATGCAGCCGCACAGATCCAAGCTGAGCATTGCCAGAGCTGTTTCTCACTCCCATCAGCACCTCGCTGTCTTTGCAATGGGTGCTGGCATCTCTTGGCGAGAGCTGCTAGGTCCTGCAATTGGCTCCACACACACAGAGCTCCTGACAGAGGCAGGGGTCAGCTGGCTACTGTCCAGTTACAGAGCCCTGCCCCAGGGGGCATCCAGAGGAGCCCAGCTCATTCTTGCTGCCATCAAGCCTGCAGAGAGGGAGAAACAGACCCCCCCCCCACCTCAGCCGCCCACCACGGAGCAGGGTGCCACCTCCACCCGTGGTCCAGGTCCAGGTCCAGGCCACACCAGCCCCAGGGGGAACAAGAGGCCACAGCCTGCTCCCAGGGGCTGCAGCCTCTGCCAGGTCAGGATCTCCCCAGTC